TTCTTCTTCTTCTTCTTCTTCTTCTTCTTCTTCTTCTTCTTCTTCTTCTTCTTCTTCTTCTTCTTCTTCTTCTTCTTCTTCTTCTTCTTCTTCTTCTTCTTCTTCTTCTTCTTCTTCTTCTTCTTCTTCTTCTTTTCTTCTTCTTCTTCTTCTTCTTCTTCTTCTTCTTCTTCTTCTTCTTCTTCTTCTTCTTCTTCTTATTATTATTATTATTATTATTATTATTATTATTATTATTATTATTATTATTATTATTATTATTATTATTATTAAAGGTGCAATTGGTGCAGAACATTAACTTATGCAAAGGCTCTCCTAGCCATGACTGCCACTTGCTCTTTGAGCAGGAGACCAAGTTGCGCCTAGGGTCGGTCTGGGGCAGTGCAGCCCCATCCAGAACTAAAGTCCTGGATCCCGAAGCCTTTTTAATTAGATACATTGTATATTGCTTTCTTTTTTACCCCGATAATGAATGGTTGTGCCAAACTATTTCTCTTTTCCTACAGTAAAGGCTGGTCACAGACTGTAGTAAAGATATTTGAATTCAGGATATGCAGGAAAATCTGCATCATATTAAGGAATAATAATAAGAAACATGTAGTATGAAAATTCATCCAGTGACATTCTCTACAAAGTACATACAATAACATGTACATTAAGAGAAAAATACACAGAACAGTGCAAATTTGTACTCAGTTTATAAGCAAAGTTAGAAATGATGGACAAACATGATGGAATAAAGCAAAGGCAGGAACAATGAGAATGTAAACAATCTTGATAGGTTTGCTGAAGACAGATAGCTGAACAAGGCTTATTGATTTATGCATTCTTTTCCCCCCTTTGTTCATTTGCTTTTATTTACTTGTTATCTTTTAGGATTGTGAAAGACCAGGCAGGTCCTGCTTAATTATACGGTGTAACTTAAGTTCACTAGCAAAAACTGAATCCCGTAGCATAGATGTGCAAATGCTTTTGAATACAGAGATATTAAAAAAGGTGAGCATCATTTCCTACACTATAATATTGAATTTTCTATACATAATTCACTTTGGAGTTGGATTTAAATTTGGATTATTGAACTTTATCCTATCAGAAGTTTTTTTTTTTGAGCAATCTCAGGGGCAGAAAAAAATGAAACAGAAAGATATAAACCATTACGTTTTCCATCTTTCAAGCTGCTCTTTAGTTTTAAAACAAATGAGCAAAACAAACAATCCCCAAAATTAGATTTTGGATTGCAGTATAACTCCATCAATGTAAGCAATAGACTGAAATGTAAGTAATATATAATATATAAAATGTAAGTGATAGGCCCAAAACTGATTCATAATACCTTTAAATGCTGATAGAATTGAGTATAATGTTCAGATTTTTTTCTGATATTTTACCACTGTCAACAATGGATAGAATAAGGACTTCGCCTGCTATGCTAAGCTTGATTTGTGGTTCTTTCTGATGCCTTGCTGAATGCTCAGTGTGTGTCTCACTGGAATGCTCAGATGTGATTAGTCAAAGTGTTAGGAATGTATTGTTGTCTAACACCAGCAATTTTCATTAAATTAATTGAGCTGCTTAATTATATGAGCTGTGTCAATGTACAGTTTGAAGTCACAGAGTAAAATAATTCTCTTGAATTTTGTTGTCCTGATGTACATAAGAGAAGGAGGAAATTATATTTCCATTTCTAAGTTGTCAATTTTTTCCTTAAAAAGTGATGTATGATTCTGACCTTACTCCACCAGATGTGTAATTTTACGATACAGTAAGAATTACTTTAAAAGGTAATTGCTGGACCATTTGTATTAAAGCTCTTTTCAAGAAGGATTATAGTGGAAAAATACATATATTTAGACTTGTTATTCTGTACAATGTTAGGATTTATTTTAATCATAAAAATATTTAATTCAGTGCCGTATATAAACACTTTAGTAATTACATACAAATATCTGTTTCTAATTATAGTGCAGTCATAATTCAGTTTAAGATGTTCTCTGCTGATGATATTTGGCAGTATCTTACATTCTTCTAAATGTGAGAATACTGCCTTTAACTTTCACAACTAACTTTGCTCTATTTTAAAATGCCCATGATTAAGAGTCTTTGAGAACTGTATGTTTGAAAATGTTCCTCAGTTCTTCTTATTTTTCAATCTGTAGGATACCTCATCAGTGATTCAGTTTGTAACACGAGCAAAGGTGAGAGTGGACACAAGCAACCGGGCAATCGAAGTACCTAATGCAAATTCTGAACATGCAACAGTAAGTGGAAGAATCTGAAGAAGAATTGTTTGGTTTAGTTTATTGCATTAATGGAGTGCATTAAATGATCCAGCATTTAACAAGGAATTTGTGGTCAGGCCAAAGAAATGGAAGGAGTGTGCCTTTCTTTCAATTATTAGCATTACTATCGCTGCAACAAAATCCTCTTGTGTTTTTGCTTGCTGTGATAAGTCTACAAGCAAATGATTGTCATTGGGATGTTTGCGGGCTAGTTCAGCTTCTAATTGTAGATTTTGTTGAGTAATATGTACAATTTCTCAAGGTGAGGTTGAAACCTGCTTTACTTTTGGGAAATATAGATTTATCTTTTACTGGAAGATCAGTTCATATGAAAGTTCATTAATGCCAACAATGTAATTCAGTGAAGATTTCTTTGGAAGTAAACCCAACTATAGTCAGTGAGGTTTGGTCCTTGGTAAGTACATGTTAGGATTGCAGCATTAATAGTTTAAATCTTAGTAAACTGTTAGCTGCAGCAGTGGCCCAATTACTTGAATCATTTCTGGATAACCATCTCAAACAAATTATTAGAACAAACAGTTTAATTTATGAAAATTTGGTCAAAAGATTATGGGTTTATTCAGGGTTGCTTATCATGTAATTTACCCTGTTATCCCTCATTCCAGATTTTGGTTTAAAAAGGATTGCATTCAGGCTATGGTAATTTGAACTTATAGAAAACTTAGTTCTATAATGATTTTCTTTTAAATGAATTTTTTTCTTTTATTGAACAAGGAATATGAAAAGCTTTTGAGGATAAAAAGTAAAATTACTCATTAGTGAAATGGACAGTGCTCCAGCAAGTAGCAACAAGAAGGATGATAATCTCTTCTGCCATATTTTTCTCACTCTTCAGATAAATCTAGCACCAGTGCCAAAGGCATAATCTTTTTAGAGTCAAGACCTGCCCTGGACATGATCCAGTCTAATGGCTAAAGAAGCACCTATCAGCATGGACACCTAGAAAAAAAAATACTTTGGCAACTTATTCAGTGTTTCTTTTGGCAGTGATTCTCTTGCCCCCCTCTCTTTATTTGATTCCCACCCTAATTGGCTCCCTGTCTCAGAATTAGAAATCAAGATCTCAGTTGAAAAGCAGCAGACTGCAGGTAAAGGTATGAATTTGCCAGAATTACTGAAAATACATCCTAATTATCTGTTAGCCCTCCCTATTTATCACCATTAATAACTCTCTATTGCTTCGAAAGAGTGGCTTAAATTCTATTAACCCTATTATACAAGAAAGGCATTAAGTAAAACCCAGCTATTTATTGCCCAATTAGCTTATTATTCTGTGCTGAATTTTTATACCATGAGCTTTCAGATGTGTTCTATTCAGATGACATTTTAGCCCATAAACAAGCAGGTTTTAAGACAGGATATTCCACCATGAATCAATGTGCAATTATTATTATTATTTTTAAAAAAAGTTTTATTAATTTTTAAGAATTACAATCTTTAGAGCTTAGTAAACAGCATGTTGTCTGGGTTCAGATATTTAACATTAACTTCTTCAATATAAGTCTATTCAGTACTGCACAATCCAGTATTTTTTCCCTGATCCTTCTTTCTTCCCCATATTTTTTCCATTTTCCCCTCATTACACAATTACAATTCTTGGTACTATTGATGTATACAGAGTTAGATATAAACATCATTATATTTTACTAATATGATACAAATAACAATATCAATTCATTAATCAATATCCTGTTTTTCGTGCTCTTATTAAGGTTTAATTTCCCATCAATATTTAAAGTATCTTTGTCAGTTATGATTTTTTCAATGTTAATTACATTTATATAGCTAAAAGTTGTATTCATACCAATCCTCTTATTTTCATATTTCCCATATCAAAAGAAGAAAAAAATGCTATTTTAATTCTAAATCATATCTTTCATTATAAAAGTCTAAATATATCTAAGTGTCATCCATTCTTTTAACCATATTCAAACAAGTACTTAAACATAAGATGCCCCCTTTAATAGGTCAAATCTTCTATTTTTTAAATCTAACTCTCACTTTCTTTCTTTGCCAAGTAGCTTTCCAGGCCAAGGCGATTAAATTGCCCAGGAATTTTCTTTCTATTTTTATGAAAGTTGAGGAAGACAATTTAGGTAGGGTATTTTTGAGGGGAAATTCCACCCATTTATGTTCCTTAAGCAACTCCCATCTTCCTTCTCCCTCAATTTCTCCCCTCATCTTTTGTCTCCCAAATTGTAACATTTTCCCTGACAGCTCTATGTTCCATTCCCCAAAATCGTCTTCCTTGTCATCAAGTGCATTTTGCAAGGGTAAAGGGTCTTTTGCAATTTCATTGTTATGTGTAGGTCTTGCAATATTTTATTTGTGTATGGTAATTTATATTTCCCTTCTTTCATCTCTTCCATCTCTAGGTCCATTTCCTCTGCTTCATCTTCCGATCTCTGGTTTATTGTTCATACTTGGTAGTCATTGTCTGAGAACTTTCTAGTTGTAGATTTAATTTGATTTACTCATTTATATTATCTAAATTATTTTTAGTCTCATTGTGGTTTCTTTTTATGTCCTCTTTGTATGCAACAATTATTTGGTAAATTAGTTGTAGCGTAAAGTATATTTCCTTCTGAAAGGTATTTGTTTATTCTTGAGGTATCTTTCCTGGAGATCCTCTAATATCACCAGTTCCAGTAAGAGTAAAACAAAGTTTCCTCTAGCTTTCTGTTCTTTATATGCAGCCTTTATAATCTAATAGATTTTAGAATAAGGTCCATTCCCAAAAGCAATATTTTATAGTGATCCTTTGTCTCAAGCATCCAAAAATTGTCAGTCAGGCAAGGTTATAATCCACAATGTTCAAAGTGTTCAAAGTGTTCAACCTCCCTGAAAACTGCTCAAAAATCTCTCCTAGACAGACATAATCAAAGGTTAAGTTTTTCTTTCTCTTCCACTAGTTTTTGAGATTAAAAGTCCAAGATCAGTGGATGTTTATAATCCAGCAAGATCAGGGTGATAAGTATGCCAAAATATTTTCCTTTATTGCCAGCTGTTCTCCCTTAGGCTAGGAATCACCAAGCAGGCAGGAAGCTGGTTATATAGTGCTGTGCTCAGATCCACCACTAGATGTCATTCAAAATGCATTTTCCACTCTTAAAACAAAGGATTGATTTCTTATGTTTCATCTCAATGTTTTTTTTCTTTTTTTTTTTCAAAAAGAAAATCTTAATAATTATCTCAGTTCTCTAATTTCAAACTGTAGCTTTATGTTATTTCCATTGAATATTGTATATTTCTGTTCTCATAGAAATTAAAATGCCGCTTCCATTCACATTTGGAGATTTTTAGTTTCTTGGGAGCCTTTCCCAGGAAATCCAGTTGTAAAATAATAAAGAAAGGATCAATATTTTCACCCAGTTCCAAACATGCTGTTTACAATGTGTTAATTGGTGCAGCCAGTCTTTCCCCTGCTGGTTTGGAGGGCTTTTCGCAGATCAAACAGAAACCGCCATCTCTCTGTGATTGATGAGACACCCCTTCATCACGTCTTTGGGGCGACTTTAGGCCCTTTTTAGGGCCCCCAACAGGTTGAAATTGGCCATGGAAGGCAGAGCCCTGCCTTCCTGCGTCCATCTTGCTACAACGCAAAACCAGAACAGACAACTAGCAGAATAGCAGCAAGAATAACCCATCACTTTGGTATGCTGCACTCCATGGCTACTTGTATGAGCTGTCTTTAATTGACTTCCAGTGTTGTCTTCCATAATCCCATTGAATTCTTGAGAAAGATCCTTAGTGACCTGCTGACTTTGTATAGCATCAGGCACCCACACATCCATTTATGTAGCATTGAGTCATAGACTTTCCTGTAGTTGATCCAGCTTGATGCGTCTAGACATTGTGTTTCAGTGGACTGCCAAGTCTTATCCTTAATCTTCACACACTTCTGTAATCCCACCAATCAACTGTCTGAGTTGCCTTGATTTTAGCCTTTAAACTCATTTTCAGGAGAAGGGGGTTATTTAATGCTGCTTTTCTTGATTTATAGCCAAGCATCTGTGTGTGTGTGTTTGTGTGTGAAAGAGAGAGAAGACAGAGAATAAGGTTGTTTGGCTAGTGGTACCTATGCATGCTCAATCGCTTTTTTAAAAAAATGCAAATTATTTTCTATTTCTGTTTCAGAAGCTTTTAGATGATTAGTTTGCGTTTAAATGTTTAAATTCTTGAAATATTGCTTGATTTCAGTGCAGCTTAAAGTTAGAATGACATTTGAAACATGAAGCTCAAACACTAAAAGCAATGCTAACAAATAATACACACGACATAATCATAGCAGCTTTTAAAGAAAAATAAGAGAAAAGGGGATTGCAGTCTTAAAAGATGATGGAACCATGGCCTGATACAACAAGAGATTGAAGATGTCTGTGAGAACAGTGGCCAACTAGTCAGCACATTACTTAAGTACTCACCCAGGGATATTTATCAGGACCTGCAGTTTTCTGAGTGTTGACTTTCCACAGAACCTTCTGAACAGCAGTTGTATCAAACCTGAGCACCTGCTCATCAGGAAGAGGAACAGCCTTCCTTGCTGGAATGTTTGTGGTCTCAAACCATCCCAAAAACATATTTAGCTTGTTTAGAGAGTCTGTGTCACCCTTACATGTCAGGGAAGCTGCCTTATAATCAGTAATTACCTGAATACCTTGCTACATATGCCTAGGGTCCATAGGATCTTGAAAGAAATTCTGCACTTTCTGACTACAGGCCCACTTTGCTGATTTTATAGCATGCCTCAAATCATCTCTTCCTATTCTAAGTGCTGCTGCATCACCTGATTTGAAATATGTGTTTCTCACCTTCAACATTGCGTGGGCCTTCTGTGACATCCAAGGTTCCTCATTTGCTCACATGATAATAGACTTAAGAATGTATGATAAAATTCTGATCATTCTGAAGAGCAAACATATCTAATGACATTTAAGGCTGGCAAATCTTTGGAAACC